GGGGGGAAATCTTTCCCCCCCCCATGTCAGGGTTTTTTTTTATGCCTTCATCAGGAGTATTTGTGTTGACTAGGGTGTGCCAACGCTTCTGCTGGGACTTAAACACAGGAGTTACTGGCTAGAGGTTCTTGTTCCTTTGCTCAGGGTCAGACAGATCACCATATTTGGGGTCAGGAAGGAATTTTACCCCATGGTCAGATTGGTATGGACATAGGATTTTTGTCTACCTCTGTAGCAAGGGGAATAGCCCTCTTCCTTGGATCTCTTGAGCATATTTTACCAACCTTTGCATGAACAAAACATTAGTTGCCATGGTCCCCCTGCTTGACCTATTGCAGATTAGGGTGTTATGCCTTGTGGTTGTGTCAGGGTTGAGTGTCTAGTTTTGTTAATAGGTTAGACAATACATTTGTTCAGGATGGTTTGGATAGGGATGATCCTGCCTCAGGCAGGGGGTTGGACTAGATAACTCTGGAGGTCTGTTCCACTCGTTTTCTCTATGACTCTATGGTCTTGGACAGGAAATGATAGACTAAATGATGCTTTTGCTAAATTTTAATAAAAGCAACCAAAACAGTGTCTTAAATAGGACAATCTTGACGACTGGCAAGGTCCACATATAAAATCTGCTACATCCACTTAATATATTGAGTTTGTACATCAACACTGAATCTGCCCTATGAATAAGGGCAGATTTCGACATCCGAAAAAACTACTTCACAGTTAGGGCGGCTAGGAGCTGGAACCAACTTCCAAGGGAAGTGGTGCTGGCCCCTACCCTGGGGATCTTTAAGAAGAGGCTGGATACTTACCTGGCTGGACTCATTTGAGTCCCGTTTTTGTTTTTAGGGTTTGTGGGGTTTTTTTTTTTTGGGTTGTTCTCCCGCCCTGGCGGGGGGTCGGGCTAGAAGATCTATTAGGTCCCTTCCGACCCTAAAACTATGAAACTATGAATAGTCCATATTGAAACTGATTATTTGATCCCAAAGGAAATACTCACTGGTTGCTAGGGGTATACAGGTTGTCCATTAGTTACAGTAAACATATTAACACAGTATCAGAGTACTCTAAAGCCCATTCATAAACATACATTTTGGTGACAAATATTGTAACCATAGAGAGCTGCACCCTGGAGTTACTTAGCAGCAAAAGGTAAATACTTGACACTAGAGTCCAACAATAAGACAGTAAGAGACTAACACTAGAGTCCAACAGTACCAGTAAGAGACTACCTCTTATAACAATTAACATACATTATTTCTTGGTTATTATTGTTACTTAAAATTGTTTAAAATTCTTGAAACGAGTTTTTCTAAAATAGGGTATGGTGCCCATAGAACCAGAAAAAAATATATTTGCATCTTTGTAAGAAACTCCTTTCACCCAGCCAATTCCTCCAGTTGTAGGGCACTGATCCAATAACCACTGTGTTCAGTGAGATTTTGAACAGGCTTTTAATTCCCCAAGCTTTAAGTACATCACCTTTATAACAATTCACATAAGACTAATACTACAATATACAAAAAACACAGAGTGAAATAGCTTAAATAGTTGCTTATGAAGATACTTCAATCAGGTGGCAGACTGTACAGTTTGACAGGCAGGAGGACTATACTCATAGAGTCTAGTATTTTCATACTGAAGACTAATTATAAGACACCATTCTTTAAACTTAAATGGAAAAAAAACCAGTGAAAATATGTAACAGAGAAAGCTAAGTGAGGTGGAAATAACAAATTTAGTTCCCTATAGCTGAAGAGAAATACTTATGTGGAAGAACATTAGACAACTATCGGTCTGTGCAAAGGACAGGAAACTTGTATCTGTAAAGGATTCCCATCTTGATCAATGCCAAGATTTCCAGAATTATAATACCAAATTTTGCCCCTTGCATATCACTGAAAGTTGTAATTCTGCCCATAACTTGTAGTTAAATACCAATCCTTGGAGCCTTTATTTCATAGACTACTATTATTGTAAAATGCAGATTTCTTATCATGTAAAATTATCTGCATCTTTTTCATAAGTTGGAAGTATAAATGTATAGTTTCCTAAATTCTTTATTAAAACTTCATTTCAGGATACAGCTTTTGCACCTTGATGTATTCTATCAATTAGCTTTCAATGCAATCAACATCCTTTCTAAGCATCTACCAGGTTATTGTGCGAGATGAGACATTTTTATTACATTTTTATATCAAGCTACCAAAATTCAACTTGCAGAATCTAGTTTTTACAGACAAACACTTATGGCAAAGTTCTGTGACTCCATCAATACCACATGGTAAACATGGGAATAGAATTTAATTCCCTCCAATTTAAAACTTCCAAGAAAGTAAATTTTTTTTCAGGTGTTATTTTCTTACCTATCTTGTGACACAGTTGACCGTGGAGGAATTTGAAATGGAGACAATACCTCATTAGACTCTAAGGTTTTTGATAAGGTGTCTGTTACCTCTGTTTCTCTGCAGTAAAAGGGCAGAGCATGTAGCAGTGCCATTCTTCATATTTGAGCTGCTAGGTCTGTAGGGAAGATACACAGATAAAAGGTTAAATCCCAACAAGAATCAGTCGCTATGTCTCGATAAAGTCTGAGAAAGCCACACAAGCAGATTCTGCTGAACTCTGACGCAGTTCAGCCTAGGAAACAGTCCCTGTTTTATTATTGTGGCTGGCCACTTGTCAGATTACATCATTAGACACAAACAAAAGATATTTCTTATACAAGAATGAAACACTATGGTTTTGCTCTACTAATAAACAATAAATAGCCAGAAACAAGCTTTTAACAAACAGCAGAGAAAAATCTTTCTATGGATTTGGATTCTGAAAACATCATTAGTTGTTTTTTTTAGTCATCCTTAAACCAAAAGGTTATTTCTAATCTTCATGGACAAAAAATGACCCCAGGAAATATTTTATAACATATTCCTTATGCTGTAGGCTCAGGAATACTGGTTTTCCACTCTCTCATCCTGGAGGTATTTGCATTTCAGTGGTGGTGCAGGTACTGTAAATACTCTGGAAAGCTCTTTGGTGAAAGGATTCACGCAAGACTCTTCATTGTCTCAAAACCTATGCAGTCATTTACACCTGTGCCATTCTGATTAATGGGAGCAGCTCAGATGCAGTGTGGAAGGCCGGGTTCAGGACTAGTGATTTCTTTCTCTAGCCAACAAAGCTTCTGTGGCTCACAGTAGCAGGAGGCTCACCAAGGTAGAGGATGAAAGAAAACTCTTTTGCTTACATCTACCTCGTTCGACATTGCATACTACTGGAAGTGCCTTTTCTTGCAACCTTCTGATTTCTGACAGAACCATCACACTTCTCAAAAGATGCCTGCTCCCTGGATATATCTATGCATCCCCACAAGTGATATGATGGAAAAAGAGAACACATGGTAGAAGTTCAGAGGATGAGATGGGGGAAGCATTCGTTTTCCTTCCCTTCTCTACCCAGCAAACCTGTCTGAACTTTGCAGCAATAGGATTCACTTCTGACTAAAAATGGGAAGCTCATCAGATAGAGGAAGCTAAGAGGCACTTATGCATCTCTAAGCTGCTTGGGAGCACTTTCCTAACCCACACCCTTGAATTCATGGAAACATCCTCCATAAAGAGCTCATGATGAGTCAGGACTGGGTCAGTTTGGGTGTGGGGGAGGGGGAGGAAGGAAGGAAAGGGAGGGAATTAAGAAGTAATGGGCCTCTAATCGAGACTCAGAGAGAAAAGATGGGCATCTGTTGCAACAAAACAACGAGATGGGATCAAGTATGGCAGGCAGTACTTGGGAGCTGCTCAAAGCAGAAAAGATTTGAAGATGGGAAAGTCTTAGTTTTCTTACCTTCTCAACAAATGTCCCACAGCTCAGAAGGGACTTTAATACTATCTGACCCTCCTGCAATGCTTTATCTTAGTGGATCTCAAGTTCTCAAGCTCCTTACAAAAAATAAGTCAACCGCCATTTTACAGATGGGGAAATTGGAAGCACAGGGAGGTGAAATTATTTTCCTGAGTAGCCCATAATATTAATGGCAGAGGTGGGACCAGATTCCCCTAAACTAGCGTATGGTGTTGTCTTCTGGACTTCCACTGATGAATGCAGCCGAAACCAGGTATGGTATACACCCATTCTCTCATCTCAACAGTGTACTACACCTCAAATCCCCCACTTTGCACTTTGTAGCCCACTGCTGCCCTACCTCCAAATCCCACCTTCTCCTTCCAATCGTTTAAGATTTGCAAGACAAACCTAAGATTCCTGGGGAAAGAGGCACCCTGGAATGCTAGAAGCTTCATCTTGGGCATTGATGCCCTGAAGCAGAGCCATAGCCATGTATGCCTCTTAGAGCCCACAGAAGATGGCCTTCTCCCCTATTTGTAACATTAGCAAGAGTGCCAAAATGCAAATTTCTAAAGTCACTATGAAGGGTGAGAGCTGAAGAGTCTTCTCAGCTTTTTCTGCTCCCCTGTCTCATGCTATCATTGCACAACACACACAACAGACATTTTTTAATTCTTATTAAAGAGATACAGTCCTGAAGACCAAGTTGCTGTAGGCTTTTAGCCCACGGCAGAATCAGGCCCTACAATTCTGTAACCAATTATCTAAATGTCAGTAGACATGGAACTATCTTCCTCAAAAGTGCTATTAGAAAATCCAGATGACAGACAAATCTAGTGCTCTAATCATCAGAAGCTTGTGACCCAAAATATTAAGTGTCTACCTTAAGGTCCTCATTTTTAATGCAGAACAGGCAGATGGTGAGCTGGCATCATTAATGGAGTAAGAGTCTGGATGTCTTGAAAGAAACAATTTTAACTTCATTCTGCAGGGTGTGACCCAGGATACTCACTCCACTATGAGTACCCTGTGGATGCAGTGATGTGGGGCTGGCAAACTGGCAATATCAAGAGCATAATACCACAGCACTCAAATCCTGTAATGTTCAGGTGCAATCCCACTGCACCAACCCCACAGCAGCTGCATCCACTACACACTGGGGGGACCAACTTTTCTGACATGCATGTCCCAAATTAGCCCCAGACCTTTCCCAAGTGCCAGTCCCATTCCCTTCTTCTGCCCCATCTGCCCCAGTGCTGCCCGTCCCCTCCCTGATCTGCCACAGCCAGACCATCTGTATCACGCATGGCGCAGGCCGGGCACCCCTGCTACTCCTCCATGTCTCATAGCCCTTGTAGCACCTCCACATCGGCTGGATGAGGCCGCCTAACACTGGCTTCCGAGCCCCGTACCCCAGCCCTGCAGTACTTAGCCACCCACACACCCTACCCCTGCCTAGACTCAGATATTGCGCACACCCCACCTCCACGCAGAGACATGACATCACGTACCCACAGACCCAACCAACTCCCCCCTCCAAGCGCTGCGCAGGCACGTCAACCCCTTACGCCCCCTCCCAGTCAAGTGTCGTGACCTAGGCAACCAGGCCCGCCCCCCTAGAAGCTGAGTCCAATCCGCGCGCAGTCTTGGAAGGCAGCGCAGCCAGTGAGCGGCGAGCGCGGAGGGTTTGCGCGTGCGCGGGACCGACTCTTGCCCCACCCCCGGGACTGGAGGGAGGGGGTGGAGTCAGAGCGGGTCAGCCCTGTCAGGTCCCTCTCGCGTGCGGGTCGGGTAGTTGGTTGTGGCTGTCCGAACCCCTGTAGCAAGAAGCGGCGCCTGCCCCAGAGCGGTGGCAATAGAGACGCGGGGATGCTCTCACTGAGTCTCCCCTGAGAAATACCGTGCCACCCTGCAGCTGTGAGAAGCAGCTCACCGGGGGAGAGGTCCTAAATCTGGACTTCCCCTGCCTTTTTTCCTTCAATCTTTGCTGGCAGCCCTGGACCCAACGCTCACTGCACCCTGCTCTTGCTGCAGGGTGGCTCACTGACCTCACTATGCCCCTGACTTTGCATCCACCTCATTTGTGTTCCCCTAAAATTTGCATGCAGGATGTGGTGGCAAAACAGTTCTGTCGGGTTGTCACAGCAGGAGTCGGAGCCTGGCTGGACTGGGGCCAAAGGCCTGTGCCAGTCAGCCCAGCTGTAAATGAGTACCTGGCCACTGCTGGGGAGGGATAGTTGGCCTTGTTCGTTTGGAGTCCGGTAGACAGCCAGGCAGGCACCCTATGGGTAGTGACTCTCAACCAGGGTGCCACTGCACCCCAGGGTGCCTTGAGATCCTTTCAAGGGTGCCATGCTGTGTTAGCACTGTTATGTGTGCAAGTGTGATTCACATGAAAAACCTGGCAATGTCAAATGGAAATCCATTCTTGCGGTCTTTCTGAGTTCTTCACAACAGAAAAACTGCTCTAGTATTTTTCTGTAGTCAGTAAGAAGAGTGACAACTAAAAGCTAGCATTTTCTGGGTGTCTGAGGTCTTTCCAGGGGTGGCTTGAGCCTAAAAACATTGAAAATCTTTGTTATAGATTAGCTCAGGCTGGGGAGTCAAAAGCAGCCAGAGAAAATGCTATCCACTTCACTTCCTTATGTGCCAGCCCCATGGGCCATTAGGTGTTGGTGGACTTTCCTTGTTTTCATATTGTGCTCATCGTGACCGGCCTGGTGTTTATTCACCAGTCCCATGGCGGTCCCTTTCTTGATGAGAGTAATAGTGGAATGGATAAGTAAATACAGTATGATTTCAGGTTTCCTTCTAAGGTGTTGTTACAAACAGCATAGAAGGGATATTACATTTAACATTTTGAACAATGCTGGAGCTGTTTACTATGAATTAAATAAAATAGACTTCATGAATGTAACATGTACTAGGGCTTTTCAGACGTTGTATTAACCTGTTCCCAAAAGAGAACTCAATCAGAGGAGACCAGTTTGATAACTATCATTCCCTGTCCTCCAAAATTTTTGTGTCTGTTAATCTGAACAATAATTTACTACTGGAAAACTAAATGGGAAAAGATGGTGAACTCAAGCCTACCTTTTGGCTCCGTGCAGTATCCTGTGACCACATTCTTGTCTGTTTTCAAACTGGTCTCTGACATCACAATGACAGGAAGTTGTACCTTTTGAGGATATGAATATAGTGCAGTTAGTGATGTAGGCAGCATGTTACTAGGTTCTAGTGTTTGAAGAGGTAAGTGTGGCTGCGCAGGTTTTCTGGGCATGATAATTAGTATCTTGAGATTCTGAAGAATGGGGTGTAAGAAAGGGGTAGCTGATGTTCTTCTTCACTTCTGAGACCATGAGGGCTTACCTACCTCACAAGATTTTACTATATTTGAAGAGAGGAGCTCCTCAGATCTGATGAAGCTTGCTTGTCTAATTCTCATACCTAGGTGCAGGCAATTATTTGGGCCTGCAGGCCACATGGGCAGTTCTGGGGAGCTGCTGCAAGCTGGTCAACCTCCCCCTTCCCCCCGCAACAGCCTGGAGCCCACATGCCCTGCAGTTTTTCCCTGCCACAGCCAACAGGCACAGGCACAGACCCAGCCCTAGCCTTGACCCTGGCTCACCCCGCACCTGCTCTGGACTTGCCCCAGCCAGAGAGAGCCATCTGCACATAGCCCTGCCCCATGCCTGCTCTGGACCGCTTGCCCACGCTAAGCAGCGGCAGCATCCGGGCAGAAGCTGCTGCTCGACACAAGGGAAAAGTGTCCCCTTCCCTTCACTGCTGCTGGGCCCTTCTTGCTGCAGCCACCCAGAGCCCGTGCCCGGGCTACCCTGTGGCTCCTTTCCACTGCCATCACCGCCGCCTCCGGGCTGCCCAGTAGGACAGCGGTGGCAGTATGGAGGAGCTGCAGGGTAGCCCAGGTGCAGGCTCTGGATGTCTGCAACAAGAAGGGTCTGGCAGTGGCAAAGGGGAGAGGGGCCGCTTTTCCCCTGTGCCAAGCAGCAGCTTCTGCCCAAACGCTGCTCAGCATGGGTGGGCAGTCTGGAGCAGGCATGGGGCTGCTCAGGGGTGGGGCCAGGGCTGTGTGTGCAAGAAACTGAATGGGAAAAGACAGCCTGCTCTGCCAGGCCAAGTCCAGAGCGGACATGGGGCAGGTCAGGGTCGGGGCTGTGCATGCAGATCTCTGCCAGCACCACAGGGCTGGGGCCAGCAGCAGCTACAGCAGGAAGGAGCTGCTGCCGCCCGGGTTGCCTATAAAGTCAGTTCAGTTGCAGAGCTACCCCAGCTCCACTGCGTGCCCAGGGGGCAGCATGACATGTCATGGACCAGACAGCATCTGGTCCAGGCGGGACTGAGGGACCTGCCACGGGCCAGACAAAGTCCCTCTGAAGGCCAAACCCAGCCTGCAGACGGTATTTTGCTCACCCCTGCTCTAACTTGTCTAACTCCATCTAATTTGTCTAACAAGTAAGCTTGTCTAACTCTATCCCAACTATGCAGTTGGTCCAATAAAAGATAGCACACTAAGAAATGCTTGCCTCTCTCATATTCCTGGACCATCACCGCTACAACTTTGTTCCAACACCACTGTAGCTGGACACATTTGGAAAAATCAAGATAATCAACATGATACTAACCATGATGCAACTGTTGACATAGACCAAGATGAATTCACATTCTGACAAAATACTACTGGTTTTTAGCATAGTTGTGAAGAATGGATTGAATGGATATGGATGCTAACTCAATTATTCAAAAATGTGTAAATATAGGCTAGCCATGATATGGGAAGAACTTTGACAATCAGCATCCCTTATGCCCTCCTAGAGTCAGCAGTGTTCCTTGCCTTCTGCCTACTGCAGATTTCTTACACCATTTTTTGAAACACTAGTTTCTGGCTATTGTCAGAGACAACCCTGGACTTGATGGATTGCTGATCTAATCCAGCCTGGTTCTTTCTGTTTGACAGAGCTCCTGATATTTCTGGATCTGCTTTGCTTTATTCTGCTAATTTCCTCTACCCTACACCCCACCCCCATGTGTCTTATTTGAATTGAATTGGAGTCAAAATAATTTGATGTGATTAAGAGGAAAACTTTTGTTCTGTTTCTCATTCAGTAGCTTGATAGTCATAATTGGAAGAAAAGATGGAAGAATACTGGAAGCAAGTTTTTGGCAAGTGAAAGTGTACAAATAGCAACTCTGAAAACACATTAAATACTCTGTTGTGCTATCATCCAGAAGACCCAGTAATTTATTCATTATATTTTTGGAACATCTGATTACTGTTAGCATGGATCGGTGAAGTACAATTTAATGTTTACATGGTATACTAATACTAAAGTTAAAATCTCTTTAGACATCTATCATATGCTTCCAGAGTTCACAAGCTAATTACTTTCTGCAGAATTTTTACTTTCAGTGGAAATTTTCCATGCTTCATTTTAGCATAACATTGAAGACACCTTGAAGAAAGGATGAGCAAAATCTCATTTTTAACTGTGCAACGTGGAAAAATGACACTTTTCCTACTCTAGAGACTATGAAAGTTTGTATGTTAGGTTTTAATATGTTAAATGTTTGAAATGTATTATTTGCTTCTGAATGCTTTATTGTAAAAAATGGGCTGAGCTGTTTCCATCATCTCTTCCGTTCCACTTATAGAAGAAATCAACACACATGAAATTTGTCAATTTGTTCATAAAGGGTGGATGCACCTCTACAACATTATCCTCTCTCCATAGGATAAGAGGATCTTCTCTGGGGAATGACACCAGTCAGGCCCGAGGAAGGAGTAGGCAAGGCCAAGGAAATACAGTAAAAGTTCTGTTATCCAACATCTTACAAGCCGGCATGCTCCACTAACCAGCATGCCGGCTTGTAAGATAAAGTGAAACCGTAAGTGTCCACCATGGCACTTCTGGTTTCTCCAAGCCCCCATTGCTCAGGGCAAAGCAGCCTGGGCTGCCGAGCCCCCACGGCCCGGGGGCATAATAGGCTGTGCGGGGCTGTGTGGAACTTGCCTCCCTGTCCTGTGGGACCTGCAGGGCACCGTGGGAGGGGCGGCGATGCTGCGGGAGGGGTGGAGGGACACCCCAGAAGCAGCGGCCGGGGCCACGCAATTAACCGGCATATTTTGTTATCTGGCATCCCAGGGGATGCCGGATAACAGAGCTTTTACTGTACATATCATTCTCAGCACCACAGAAAATTTCCTAGGAAAACAAATAATAAAATCTCAGGAACTCACAGGGTATTTTCTGGTAGTGAAGATCTACTGCAGATGTGTTGCCAGGGGATATTGGTGCTAGGGCAGAGGCTCAGAGCCTTTATGTAAATAGCTATTGTAGCAGAAAGCCCCCTTTTCCTCTTGCCTGCATTTGCTCTCCCCTCTTTGAATATGTTTCTCTTTTTCTACCTTTTCTTCCTTCCTCTCTCTTTCACTTTAAGATAAGGAATTGTGTTTTAAAATTTGTATGTGTGCATTTTGTATCTCCCCTTGTAGTTTGGTATTTTTATCTATTTGTGTGCCATGGCATTTGTAGCTTATATTTTATACTCC